ACATGGTGAATAAACTTTACAGTATCTTAATTCATCCTCCCAACAGCCTGAGTCACTACTATTCCCATTATACAGACATGACATCTGAGGCTGATACAGTGCATACACTGTGGTGTTCCAGCCAGTGAATTCCAGAGTTCATACTGACAATCTTGCAAACAGTAGGTATACTGAGGAAGGCTATGGTATCATGGTCCTAGGAATCAGAGGACTACAGGAAATGTACTTATTTCTGGAATTCCTATGCCACTCCATTCTCACAGACTCTGAATGGCATACAATCATCAAAAAATACACAACTCAGCCATGTAACCTCAGAAACAGACAGTACTATCCGCTGGGGACAGTCCAGATCTCAGAATCCCCTAAATGCTCTCTCAAAGAGTAACTTTTTTATAGCCCTAAGAAAGCCCAACAGGGAGGCAGCAGTCCAGATGTACAAGGGCAAACAGAAAGGAGCCACCACTGGGAAGGATCAGCTATGAGATCCCTACAGATGGAATTCAACTGAGAATGGGAGCCTCAGCAAGCCCTCTCCATGATCTCACTGGATAGGCAGACTTACTTCAGAGAAGATGTCTTGAAGATATCCAGACTCCAAGCCATGTAGATTTTAAAGGTTGTAACTAATACCTTGAATTGTACCCAGAAGAAGAATTAGAGCCAATGCAGCTCCCAAGATAGAATTGTCACACTGGTGAATTTAGATTCATCCATAACTACCTGAGCAGCCACATGCTGAACCACTCTAAACTTCCGAATGGTATTTGAGAAAGCTCCTGGAGTGGGAAGTCTTTCTGACCATCACTCAAACTCTGCCTGCTCAGAGAGATCAAGAAGAGAAGGTAAATTAAGAGCCCCACCTACAAAAGAATGTGGTCATCTAGGTCATCCCCATACAAAAGCCTTCTCAGTGATGGCCCCGCTCCATTGGAACAATCTTCTCTTGGGTATAAGCTCTTCCTTACTATGCTTTGGTAGAGCAGTCAAGATCTTACTCTTCTGGAAGGCTTTTGGGAACAGGATGCAGGGATGATTTTTGGCCTCAAGGATGTTGGTGCTGTTGATTGATGGGGTAGGTTAAGGAAGCATGGTATGTTCTGGTTTTGTATTATTTTAATCTTACTCCCTGGAGCAGAAATTCTCTACCTCTCCCCAGTTTGAGCAAACTGTAATTACTTATAGTAACTAAAAGCAGATAATCACTGTCAGGATTTCCTTTGGCAGTTGTAACAAATTATGGTTGCAGTAAGCTGGTAGAAGAAAGAAAGAACAGAATGTGAAAGGATAGATAGAATGTGAGCCAGAAATAGGGCCAATAGGCTAAACCACTGTTTCTCAACCTTGGCAGCTTTCAGATGTGTGGACTTCAACTTCCAGAATTCTGGGAGTTGAAGTCCACACATCTAAAAGCTGCCAAGGTTGAGAAACACTGAGCTAAACCATGGCTTGGCCATGAGATCAGAACCATCGTCACAGTTATGGCTTATAGGCCTAACAGCTTTCAACAGGGCTCAGTGCTACATGCAGCTCCCTTGGTGGCCCCTAACAGGAGGGAGGGCTGTGCAAAGATTCAATCTAGAAATTCAACTTGAAGGCGATTCTCTTGAATTTTGAATTTACTTTCTGAATCAAATTGGTTTGAACTGAAATTCAGTATGTCAGATTGAACTGCCTTGATTATCCAAATCAAAGTGGCAATATGAATCAGATCAAATTGACAATCTGAATAGCAGCTAATTCACATATCTTTATCCAGTAATTTGGAGCAGATATACATCTTTAGTTTTAGTTCATTTTACAAGAGAAGTCTAGGCTGCAGTCCTATTTACATTTACCTGAGAGTGCCCCATTGAATTCAGTTTGCTTTCCTTCAGAGTAGACACACACAGAATTGCACTTTTCAAGGATTAATCCAACATATGTCAGGTATCTTTGATTATGGAGGCAGAAAGGGAGCTGTGTGCTCTAATACAGCTTTGGAAGAACATACAATTGACTTCTCATTCTTTTTGGACCTGAAGTACAGTAACAGAGCTCCAAGACGTTTATCTCTAATGTTTCATGTTCTACTTTATCTACTGACACCTCTAAAACATCTCAAAACCTGCAGTAATTTTTCTTGTTCTTAGCATGGTCCTCATGAGAGCAACTTAACACATGGTTCTGTTTCCTGCTGCTTCTTATTAATTATTGTTATTAACTTCTTATAATTACCACCTTGAGGTGTAATTCCTGAGCAACAGAAACATCTCTTAGATGATGAACTCCCTTCCTCCCCAACGATTCCCATTTATTGCACCAAATATAAATTCTCCAAATTAGATTATATAAAGATGACATCTTATTCTGTACCACACGGGCAAGAAAAAAAACATATTCATAGAATTACGTAATGTAAGAACCAGAAGGGATCTTGATCATCTACTCCAACTCCTTGCCCACTGCAGGAATCCACTATAGCAGCTGTATTCTTAGCTCTTGAGTCAGTAGTCTTCCACAATTTGGTACCTTCCAGATACGTTGGATTTCAACTTTCAACATTCCTGGCTAACATGGCAATGCAGGCTAAGTATGCTAGGAGTTGAAGCTCAGAATCTCAGGAGGGCACCAGGTTGGGAAAGGCTATCCTAGGGGATTAGGAAATCCTTCAAGATGGAAGAACCATGGATGCTGCTTTATAAAATAATATATTTAGAGGCAAACTAACCCACAAGCCAGCATCAGGAGTGAACCAGAGATCCTGATCTTTCTCGGTATCTCTGTACCAAGAAATGTTTAATGGACACAGTTCTCAACCATAAAAGGCATACTATGGTTAAGTGGTTGCTGGGGTAATCTGTTGCCAGGGGTAGAATTTGCATATGGAATGCAGTATTTGGTAGGCAACAGACATCAGAAGATGTTCATCCAATTGGCTTCAGGTATGGAAATGCAGAGAGCCCTGGATGTTCAATTGCCCATATCTGAGTCAGCTGCTGCTTTTTTAATACACAGCCTTTCCCACCATGCGTACAAATGCACGCCTGAGCAACCTGTCCCCAACTCGGTATTTTCCAACAGCACACTTAAAAGGCAAGTTCCACTGGGGATGCACGAGTCTCAGAAACGATCAGAAATCACTCACTTTGGACCACGGGGGGGGGTGGAGATGGCTGGTAGGCAGGAAGCATTCATCCATTCTCATGAAATAAGTTATCTGGAAAGCTATTCTCAGTTAAAAGATGTCTGTGGCCCTTTGGTGTTGCTCCTCAAGAACCAGTAGGGGCAGTGTGTGAGCGTGTGCCAAACTCACCACCTTTGGACACCTTGTACTACAGCAACAATCCTCCCCAGCAAGCATCTTCCACAATTGTCTTATGTACTTATTTTAATTTATACAGAGTATTTTTATGACATGACAAGTTTGTTTATTTTATTTTTCATATTTACATGGCCACCCTTCTCAAAGAATGTGACTCTGGGTGCCGTACGATAAAAACATCATGAAAAAACTAACAGTTAAACAACATTCTAGAATTGAGAGCACCGTCAGGATGACTAGCGACAGAGTAGCAGAGAGAGTTATTATTACAGACAATGCAGCCACCTTACTAATTCACCACTTGAGATCCCCAAGCCTGATGACACAGTCATGGTTTAAGGGACTTCCAGAAAGATGTCAAGGATGGGGTCAGCACAAATTTCTGTAACATATAACACTTGGTTATATGCATCTGACCCTTATATATTACTGCTTTTCAGTGCAACTTTTCCAAACACGTGCTTCTTTTGTGTGCATTTCCTCCGATGAAAAATATTTCAACAATCTCCTTTATTCACCTCCAAGGCCAGAACCTGTTTACGTTTTGGCAGACTACTCCACTTATATTTCTAATTGACTCCACAGATGTTATTCAATGTATCGATTAAAATATTTCAACAAGTGCTTTATTCCTATATAAGAAACACACACGCGCACAAAAACAAAATCAGCCACAATACAATGCAATAAAGGAATAAATCAATGTTACAGGGGAAAAAAATCAAAAGCATAAAAATGAAGAGGCCATCTTTTTCTGCATCTTTGTTGCTGCGGCGCTCTGACAAGACTTACATCCTTTCAGTGTGTCGTCCCCAACAAAATGCAGATTTTCCAAAGAATTTTTAATTCAAATGTAAGAGCCAGAAATAATACTTCAGAAAGTTTCTAGGCCTGCCTTCCTCTGGTGCTTCTTGTACATACCGTATTTTTCCGTCAATAAGATGCCCCCATGTACAAGACGCCCCCCACTTTTCCAAC